AGGAAGAAGTCTTTTATATGTGAAGATGCAAAAATAATACTAATATAGAAGCCTGAGGGTTAAGCTGGGAAAATGCTTATTTCATCTTTGGGCTTTGTTAGATGTGGGCAAAGAAAAGAGTCTTTTATTAAAGGCTGCAGGGAAGTGAATTCCTGTGAGGGGAGGTCAGCTGAGGCAGAGGTGAAGGAGAGAATACTGTTGAAGATGTAGGAGAGTTTATTCACTGTGGACTAAAGAGTTCAGATAAAGATGAGGAAGAGAGTTAGTAGTTGAAGAAAGACTTAGAGAAAAGTGGGTATAGGAAACACACATAACATGGTAATGAACATATGCGACAGAGTTGACTAGAAGTTTTAGCATTTGGAAGAGAGGCCCAGTTTGACAAGGAATATTTGGATGGACTGGGGTGAAGTGTGTAGGCATAAGAAATCTGAGGACCAAAACGGTATTGGTTACTTACTGAGATTAGGGACTGCATACTTTGCTCCAAGTTCAAATGCCTTGCCAATGACTAGATTCTTATTCTTTAGCAGTTTGTAATTTACAAAGGAGGTGGCCGTGTAACCAAAGTTCTCTAGTCTAATGTGGAAAGTGTTAAGTGTGGTTATAGACAAAGTCTTATGAAAGTGTAGAAGACTGAGAGTTTAGTTCCAACTGGAAGACCTGGGGAAGACTTCTTAGAGAAGCTAGTTTTTTAAACCAGGTCTTAAAGGGTAGGTAGAATGGTATTAAATAGATTGGGGTAAAGGAACATTCTATTTTGGAAAGGCCTGAAGCAAATCCATGAATTTTGGGAAATTCAGAGCTTGTTTGTGGAACAGTTCATAAAAAACAAACAGAGAGAGCTTGACTTCAAGATGAGCAGGGAGAAATGGAAAAAAAGCAATGGAAATTAGAGTGTGTTATACCAGTAGCTATGGTGACTACAAGCATGCACAGAGCCAGTATGACAGAAGAAAAAAAAACAACTACGGAAAAGAGAACTATGCATCCTAGTGTGCCCACGGCCACCTTGAGTCTGAGTTGCTGCTAGAGGCAGCATTTACATTTATACCAGAAGTTTTAACAGGTCTACTGCGTTCTTGTATGCCTGTGTGCGTTCTTGCTCAAGGTCTTGCTTTCTCTTTCTTGCTCTTGCTCTCTTTCTCTGTCCCTCTCTCCTGTGCACTCTCTCTCCTTCCCTCTCTCTCTTCTCTCTCTCGCTCTCTCTGTTACTGCTGTAATCACAAGAATCGTACTGTGATGTATTCCCACTGCTGTGCCCCTCAGCTCCTCAGTATTTGCCTAGAGAGTAAAACCGTTTGTAGACTGGTTATATGGAAATATACATTAGTGCTTATTCAACTGTAACATTGTGGATCATAATATATACTTATGTTTGTGTGTGTCTGAAAAGCGAAGTTAATAATTAAAGGCTATTTACCACATTTTTGCTTGAAAGACTGATTCTTTGAATCTGAGACTGCAAAGCTTAAGGTTCAGTACCTGGATTTGTTTATTTTATTTCTCTTAGATTTATTTACTTTATACTTTCGTGCTAAAGAGCCATTTGGTTTCTTTTTTTTTTTTTTGGAGACAGAGTCCCACTATCTTGCCCAGGCTAGAGTGCATTGATGCTATCTCAGCTCACTGCAACCTCTACCTGCCAGGTTCAGATGATTCTCATGCCTCATCCTGTCAAGTAGCTGGTACTACAGGCATGTAATACCACACCTGGCTAATTTTTGTATTTTTGGTAGAGAGGGGGTTTCCATGTTGCCCAGGCTGGTCTTGAACTCCTGGGCTCAAGCCATCTAACCCGTCCTTGGCCTCCCAAAGTGCTGGGATTGCAGGCATGGGCTACCACATCCATCCAGAGAGCCATTTGGTTTCTTGATGCTATGTACTACAATATTCTTTCTGTCAATATTATTTTTAGAAAATACACTATTTATAATTTCAAATTATACTTGACTGCCTTTTTCTCTTCTCCCAGAAGGGCATATGCATATAAAATAGCATTATACATTTGAACTTGCCCTGATAGACTTCATGAGATGTTGATTGCTATATTGTGTTTGACTGTATAGAACAGACTCTACTGCATTGATTTAAAAAAATTAGGTTCATTTATTTTATTTTAAAAAACTTAATTTTATTTAATATTATTAATTTTTTGAGACGGGGTCTTGCCATGTTGCCGAGGCTGGTCTCAAACTCCTGGGCTCAAGCGATCCTTGTCTCAGCCTCTCGAGCAACTTGGACTACAGGCACACACAGCTGTGCTTAGCCGTTTATGTTACATAACAAGAATTCCAGAGGTAGACAGTTGTTGGCCAGTGATGCTACAAGAATGTATGCTCATCCTATTCTTTGGCTCCCTGTCCTCAGCAGGCCTAATGTTGCTAATGTTTGTAAGATGGCTCTTGTATTTCCAAACTTAACATTCTTGTTTCAGGCAAGAGAAATGGGAAAGGATAAAGACTTCCCTGCTGTTTCTGCCCTTACTTTATTAAGAAAATAAAAGGTTTCCATAACCATTAGCAGACTTTCCACTAAATCCCACTGACCAGAATTGACTCACATGGCTCTCCTAGCCACAAGGAAGAGAATAACAAGCCTATTATCTTTGTCAGGGCACAAACTACCCTGATCAAAGTCAGGGAGAAAGGGGAATCATTTGAAGTAGGGAGCTAACAATGTCTGTCAAAGTACTGTGCCTAAAGTTTAATTATTTTACCTGTTATTTTAATGGAAATGACATTCAATCAAAATTTAGCTACAAAGAAAAAGGAAAATATTCACAGCCTGTCACTTTTTCTTTCCTTACATTATAAAACTATGTAATACAATTTCTTATGGAGTACATTGGAGTACACTGGAGTACCATTTTCTGTTCATTTAAATGAAGTGACAGTTTCTTTTTTGGGGAGACGATTTTCACATTGTATAAGTAGTTTAGTTATTCTTGTTATAGACAGGTTTGTAGTGCATATATGGAGTTTATTTTAAAGGTAAATGGGTCTTAAATATCACAACTCTAAGGTAAAGTATTTCATCAAAATCTAGTGAAAAAATTTTGACTTCTGGTGTAAGGAAGACTCTTTTTTTTTTTTTTTTTTTTGAGACGGAGTTTCGCTCTTGTTACCCAGGCTGGAGTGCAATGGCGCGATCTCGGCTCACGGCAACCTCCGCCTCCTGGGTTCAGGCAATTCTCCTGCCTCAGCCTCCTGAGTAGCTGGGATTACAGGCACGTGCCACCATGCCCAGCTAATTTCTTGTATTTTTAGTAGAGACGGGGTTTCACCATGTTGACCCAGATGGTCTCGATCTCTTGACCTCGTGATCCACCCGCCTCGGCCTCCCAAAGTGCTGGGATTACAGGCTTGAGCCACCACGCCCGGCCCGTGAGGAAGACTCTTAATATGCTTTAGAAAAATACATTTTTAAAAATCTGAACTTTAAGACTCAATTCAAAATATTTGACCTTTTCCCACCATTCATCTACCTTAATTAATTTTAACTTTCTTTTACTAAGAGGAAATTATATCAATTATTCAGCTGTGGCATACTGTCATCGTTTTTTTTTAAATTTAACAAACATAACGCCTTTTAACAGTGTACACAGGTCCTGAAATAGATTTTGTGGAAAATAAAAAAGAAGTAGGTTTGTGCATTGTAGCCCATGTGTGAAATCCCAACACTTTGGGAAGCTGAGTGAGAGGACTGTTTGAGGAGGCCAGGAGTTCGAGGAGAACAGCCTGGATAACATAGACCTCATCTCTTGCCCCCACTCCCCACCAAAAAAAAGGCATAATTTTTGTTTTTGGGACACTAGTTGATGAGACAAAATAATAAAAGATAGTATGTGATCAGGTAAAAAAGTTTGGTTGGGCATGGTGGCTCATGCCTGTAATCAGCACTTTGGGAGGCCAAGGCAGGTAGATAACCTGAGGTCAGTAGTTTGAGACTTGCCTGGCCAACATGGTGAAACCCATCTCTACAAAAAATACCAAAAAAATTAAGCGAGATGTGGTGGTGGGCACCTGTAATCCCAGCTACTTGGGAGGCTGAGACAGAAGAATTGCTTGAACCTAGGAGGCGGAGGTTGCAGTGACCCAAGACTGCACAATTGCACTTCAGCCTGGGTGACGAAGAGTAAAATTCTGTCTAAAAAAAAAAAAAAAAGTTTTATAGGAATTTAAGAAAGTAAAACTGCAGATTGATTACTTATAATGGAAGAAGTAGATGTTCAACACAGGGTTGTTTGATGTGGTAGGAAGGTACAAAGAAGAGCCTTTCTTTCCATCCTCATCTGCTGTTTTATTCACTCACCCTTGTTCAACTATTTATAGTGTCTGAGATGTTCTATCGACTTTGATACTTCCATACTTGCCTTTTGTTTGTTTTTGAAATTTCCTTGTTTGTTGGGTCTAATAATCTCCTACCTTTGAAGACTCAGTTTGAATATCATCTCCTCTTTCAGTGAAATCTTCCTGAACTTCCTGGCCAGAGTTGGCTGCTTCCTTTTCTTTTCTCCCAAAGATGTCTGTATGTATGTGGGGTTTGTGCGTGAGTATATGTGTGTGTGTATGTGGGTGTATTTAGAGTGATCACATTGCACTGCTTATTTACTTGTCTGTCACAAGCTTTTGAGCTTCATGAACATGGGGAGGCTATCATATTTATTTCCAAATCACAGTGCGTGGTGTAGTGGTTTTGTACATTGGCCCACTCAATGAATGTTCTTTGGATGAATGGATAAAAAGAAGGAATTAGCCTGGAGTGTCTTCATGAGTATTGGGAGTCTGTCCAGAGGGAACTTAGATCATAAGAATACTTGACCCAGCAGGAATCGTTTATAATTTGTTAAGATTTAGAGATAAGATTGAATAGGCAAAGCAGAATTTAGGTGGCAGTGGAAATTCTAATGAATAATGGAGTTATATTAAATACAATGTCTGAAATTGGTCTTTGATGCACCCATTTTTCCAACATACTATCCTTTTGTATTTTTGTAGTGCCTCCACTTCTCATTCAGAGAATTCAGTGCATACAAAATCAGCTTCTGTTGTATCATCAGACTCCATTTCAACTTCTGCCGACAACTTTTCTCCTGATTTGAGGGTATGTATACTATTTTAAATTTCTGATGAAGTACTTTCTGTTAGATATTTGTTGCCAACACTATCAGTATAACTAATTTAGCAGGAAATATTGATGGAGTATTCTCATAGATCCCAGTCTACAAAATATCCCAGAATAGGCCAGCAAATTTGGAATGCTTACTTATTTGTAAAGAAAAATGTGTAATTCATCTCTGAGGCTGATCACCTCTAAGTTCTTTGCCAAAAGATGATTAATGAATTTTTTTGTGGTATAAAGGATTTTTATGATTATTTATGTAACAGCCAATAATAGCTAACATTTATTGAATACATACTGTGTGCCAAGCATTGTTCTAAGTGCTATACATGAATTATCTCTTGTAAGACTCTCACCAATTCTGTCAGCATTCTACAGATGATAATAACTTGTAGAGATTAAGTAATGTGTCCAAGATCTCATAGCTAATAAATTCTATTGCCAGTGTTCCAGCCCATGCAGTCCAGTTCGGGAGCTAAGTCACTTAAACACTGTGTGATAGTTCCTACACATCTCATTGTAGTTTGTAAGTATTCCTCTATTTATTAAAGGTCTCATTTCTATGAAATTAACCACATTAGCAATACCCTGTAGAACTCTGCATTTCTGGATTCATCTGCTTTTCTATAACTGCTTGTCCATGAATGATTGAGAAAACGAATTATATGTGTAGTGCCAACCCTTTACCCTTACTTCATAATCATTATTTTTCTAAAAAACACAAAACAATAAACATTTATATCTCATGTTTCTGGAAGGTGGGAAGTCCAAGATCAAGGCATTGGCAAATCCATAATCTGATGAGGGTATGTCTTCTTGTATTCTGACATGATGGACAGCATGTCAGAATCTTTTTATTCCAAACAACTGGCTGATTTCTCACTGGTTACACTTACACAGTTTTAGCTAAAACATTATGCAGTCATTTGCTGTTGAGCATATGTTGAAGATACTTATATCTTTTTCAGCCATTTCATTGTCAGAACAACAAGACAACATCTGGAAAATCTTCTGCATATTTCTTTTTCTTTTCATTATTATTATTTTTTATTTCTTATTACCTTTTGTGATATTTCATAAAATGTTAGATGGGGAATATCGTGGTTTAAAACATCACTAAAAATTAGAAGGGCTTATCCTCATAATCTGAATATATATTGTGATAATTATGAAGGCTTCATGATATCATTAGACATTATCTTGAAGCATACAAAGAACAGGGTTCATTGTTAACAAGAATGGTTATAAATCCATTGTTGCTTCTCGGGTTGTTACTGCTTTAAAATATATGTATGTATCTAATATTTCCTTATTCATTACATTAATAAAAATCCACCAAAGGCCTATGGGCTTCTTAATAATTTTGAAATGTCTTGGCCTAATTTTGGTCAGATTTTATTAGGTAAAAGCGTCATTAAACAATGACTAACCTCATACTGTGACTGAAAGAATTTATACTAGGAATGAAGGAATGTTACTTTTGCTAGTTGCTTATGCCTGTATCTTATTTTCTACCTGCTGTTTCTTATCTGAAACATTTTAAACCATTTATGTATAATTGTGAGTGTTAAACTACTTAACTCGACATACATGTGAGGTACAGTATATTACAGGGTGCTGAAAATGGGCAGACGAAGGAGGATTCTCCACTATCAGCTTATCTCTGCGTGTAGACCTCCATCTTTTCCTCAGGACACCTGAGGAAATAAATAAATATTGAATGACTGGCTTACATTTGGACAAAATGAGGGCTATAGTACATCTGTTAATCTGTATAGAAAATATTGTAAGGTTTTCTAATTTTTCTTAAACTTTTAATTCTAGAACAATTTTAGATGCATAGAAAAATTGCAAAGATAATAGAGTTCTTATATACTTCACCTCCAGTTTCATCCATTATAACATCTTACGTTAGTATACTACATTTGTTCCACATAATGAACTGATATTGATAGGTTAGTTTTAGCTAAAGTCCATACTTTATTCAGATATCCTTAGTTTTTACCTAATGTTCTTTTTGTTCCAGAATCCCACCCAGCATGATGCCATATTACATTGAATAGTTATGTCTCCTTAGGTTTCTCTTGACTGGGACAGTTTCTCAGACTTTTCTTGTTTTTGATGACTTGATGGTATTTTATAGACCATGTGACATTTTACTCATTCAAGTAGTGTTATGTGTTTTGGGTAGGAAGATCACAGAGGTAAAGTGCCATTTTATCACATTTTATTAAGGGTACATATTACCAACATGATTTATCACTGTTGATGTTAACCTTGATCTCTTGGTTGAGGTGATGTTAGTTTTTTTCACTGTAATTATTCCCTGTGCCCCTCACCCATCCACATACTGTACTTTCTGGAAAGAAGTTGCTATGCATAACCCAAACTTAAGGAGTAGGGCATTATACTTTACCTCCTTTAAGGTGGAACATCTATTAACATTTTTTTTTCAATTCTGCATGGGAGATTTTTTCTCCCATTTATTGATTTGTTTAAGCTTTATTTTATTATGGACTCATGGATATTCGTTTTATACTTTTTGTTACAACCATAACTACTTTATTGATTCCAGCTTCAGATTGAGAGTTCTTTCAGTCAGTTCTTTTGTTCCTTTGCCATACTCTCATCACTGTGCTGTTTTTTGAGCATTTCCTTACTTTCTGGCATGACAAGATGTTCCTGACTCATAATATATGTTTCCTCCCTCAGTTCTCGAATCATCATCTAGTTTTCATGGGAGTCCTGGTTCTTTTTTTTGGAAACCAAGATCTAGCCACTAGGTATGTTTAGTTACTACTTTTTTACGAAAGAAAAAGTAAGAAAGCCTTTTCCTTCTGAAACAAAAGATCATTTTGCACCTGTACAATTTGGAGATAATATGATGGGTAGGGTGATTATAAATACAAATTTTTTGGAATAGACTTATTTATGCCTGTCCCTTCAGGTTAAATGTTAGACATAAATGTCCTCAATTACATGACTAGCTTAGCACCAGGTTACAAAGGGAGTCTGTCAAATTTATACATCACTTCTGTTTGCAGGAATTGTTTCAATGTATCCCATTAGTACCTTACCTAATTTAGCATCTTTCACAATTTAGGAGGACCCTCAGATAATTTTTATTTGCTGAATAAGCAGATAGCTATTAAATTAAGCAGATGGTTTTAGGCAACAAAGGTTAACTGTTCTTCCCTAGGACAGTGCCTAAAGGGGCAGAGAAAAAAAGAAAAGTAATATGGTGTTAAGCTGCATGTTACCCAGTTTACTCATTTTTAAAGGTATCTTTAATTGTTCGATATATCTTTACTTGAATTACAGTCTTCAGCTGCTAGAGGGAGATGAATGACTAACATTAAATTAAGTGTTAGTATCATTTAAAAATGCAGCCTGATTTCAAATCTATTAGGTAGATTTCTTTTAGAAAGAAGGTTGGGTTAGACGGCATGTGCTTCTAATAATTAAAAAAAAAAAAAGTCTAGCCTGCTACTGTGATAGATATTCATACATGCCTCATCTCTTTTAGCTTTCTCAACAGTCCTGTGATCCAGTTATTATTCCCATTTAACAAATGAGAAACCTGACAGTCAGAAAGGGTGAGCTAAATCATATACTTAGTGGCACAGTTGGCTGTTGCCCTTATTTTATCTCAGGTCATTCATACTCTTGTAAGGTACATTTACAAGGAGAGACCCCTCCCATGATTTAAAAAATTTTAAAAATTTAGTATTTTTTAAAATACTAAGTGAGATTTTCTTAATTAATAAGGAATATCTTTTATATATTTGGGGAATGAAAATAGTAGATTTCAGTATTACTTTCTTAATAAATATTTGAGAAGTGCTTTTCTAGTAACCAGAAAAGGAGAGTTTTATAATAAAATTTGATTTCCTCTCTCAATTTTGTTAAGTGATGATGATTGCGTTTCATGTGTGTATCTTTAGCAACCATAAAATAGTAGTGTTTGAATTATAGGCAAAACTAACTACAGACAGCTATGTGTTGCATTTTGACTATGGTTTGGCTGCTAGGTGTGGATGAAGGGTTTGGTGTAGTGTTTTTGAAAATTATAATTCACAGATGATTTAAAGCTGGTTAACCTCTAGAATTCCAGTTCTTCACAAAGCCTCATTGCTTCTTCACATCCTGAGACTTCACATTTTAGAAGCTCCTTTTTAGTAACAGCTTTTACATAGAAAGTATGGAGAACATTATACATTGAAAAGCTAATCCAGTTTCATTTAAAATATTAAATTGTAAAGGTTTTTTGCTATAGGTACTGTAAAATGGCACTTTCTAAATATGAAAGCTTTTTCTATAAGGAATTTGGTATTCAAAAAAGATTTGTTGCCTCTGCATCAGTAAAGCAGAATGGAAAATGGGCTGGGGAGAGAACTTGTCTAGATGTATGTTGAACTTTGATTTTTCAAGTGGAATTCTATTTGTTTTACTTTTTTGCCTTGTTATCCTTGTTTGTTATGGAAAAAGTCTTACACAGATGTAATCCTGGAAAAATTGGGCACAAATCCTGGCTTTGTAAATTGAATTGTGCTTTTCTAGTGACAGAACTGTAGTGTTTTCTCTTTGCTTCATTTGTTCTTCCCCTGGAAGTAAAACTCACTTAATTTCAGTTTTAAAACTTACCAAATTCTTTTATATAGAATTTTAAGTAATGCAATTTAAGGAAATAACTCATTTGCAGTTTTTAAAATTAGGCTTCTTTTTACTAGAACATATTTCTGAAATTTGCCACTTAGCAGAATTAGAACTCAGGAAACTTATGTCTGGTTGTTTATTTGCTCACTGGAGAATCAATCCCATAAAATGTAGGATTTTAAAATTCAAATGTACAACTCTACTTATTTATTAGTTATAATTTGTATAGCACTGGGTTTTAATTAAAGTATGTGCCTCAAATGGTGGTGATTGAAAAATAACAGTCAAACTATGTAGCAGTTCCTTTCCTTTGTGAAGCCTGTGGT